GCTAACCAGCAAAACTTGATATCAAAAGCATCCTAAATGTTACATGTGTTTGCACCATATTGTAGTGAGTAACCTTTCTTGGTATTGCTGTTTCAAATATCCCACCATAATCTGTAGTCTGAGCCTGTCAAGGGCTAATGACAATGGCAGATACGTTACTAATTAGTTTCAAGGAAAATAGTTTTCTTTTTTTGTTTGCCAAATAACCCTGTGTAAGTGTTGGCCCTTAAACCCCCAACGCCCTGTTTAAGTTACAAGTTCTTGGACCATTTTAATGTTTTTGTTTAAACTGTAGTTTTCTGTAGTAAACTGTCTTTGTATATTTCCCATTTTATATTCATTTCCTAGTATTTAATTTACCATTATTTCTTTTGAACAAAACAATTTCAGAAATTTCATGTTTTAGATTGTAGGTCATCTTGTAACCTGTCAAGGACAAAGCTAACCAGCAAAACTTGATATCAAAAGCATCCTAAATGTTACATGTGTTTGCACCATATTGTAGTGAGTAACCTTTCTTGGTATTGCTGTTTCAAATATCCCACCATAATCTGTAGTCTGAGCCTGTCAAGGGCTAATGGCAATGGCAGATACGTTACTAATTTACTTTTTTTGTTTGCCAAATAACCCTGTGTATGTGTTGGCCCTTAAACCCCCAACGCCCCGGAAAAAAGTTCAGGCTCAGGATTTTATTTTGCTTAAACCCTGAATAAGCCATAATTCCAGCCAATCAGAGTCGAGGTTGCTAAATTCTGATTGGCTGCTCTGACAACCAATCACAACATCCCCTGTATTACCGACGACAGCGGAAGAGGAAAAATACAGTGTGTGCATAATTATTATGCAAGTTCATATTCTGATCATATTTTTTTCTGAGCACATTTTATGAATTCCAAATGACATCAATCTTAATAACTACTATTAATCTTGTATAGATGAGGCTGCTAAATTCTGATTGGCTGCCTTGACAACCAATCACAACATTCCCTGTATTACCGACGACAGCGGAAGAGGAAAATACAGTGCGTGCATAATTATTATGTAAGTTGATATTCTGGTCATATATTTTTCCAAGCACATTTTACCAAGTTCAAACAACATCAATCTTATTAACTACTATTAATCTTGTATTTAATCATTTATAACTGATATATAATTGTTCATGAAGGCTGGAAGTGAAAAAACACCTGATATTCAGGTGTGCAGAATTATTAAGTAGGTTTTCTTTTACAGATAAAATCTCAAGATGGACTAAACATGAACTCCCAGATTCTGGAAGATAAATTATTCAAACAGTGGTAAAAGAGGATGTGGTGCTGGTCCTTCAAGAGTCACTCTCAACTTAGTCTATATAGCCTATAAAAAATCAGTCTTCAAGTATTTTACTACACTTCGGTATGTGATTCTTAAGTAGGGGTAATTTTTTAGGATTCTTTACTTAAAGGAGACATATTATGCCCCTTTTTACAATATGTAAGATCTGTGTGGCAGCAGCAATATACAGTAAATAAATCATTAAATCCACTGCTCTCTTGTCTCCTCTGAGGCTGGGACTCTAAATAGTGTCCTGTGCAGCCAAAGGCAGAACAGTTAGCATGTTTTGCACCGTTGTCGCTTGCGAAATCAAAATGACGGTGCCATGGGTGGAAACTTACAGATTAAGGGGCTGTAATATTATAATGAGAGACCTTTGCCACATCACCAAGAGAGCAAAATCAGATGCGCTCGTTTTTTCAGACGCTTGCAGAAAAAGGCTTCCCAAAACAAAGTTACTGGGTTAATCTTTTTCACGTTTCCTTGGTTAGTAGATGCACCCGGGACATGATTATAGCACTTAAAACCTGGAAAAGTCAGATTTTCATGATATGTCACCTTTAACCTAAGTCTCTGAGAACCTGACACCTTGTACTTCTGGAGACTCCAGGTAGGTTGCAGTTTTGGAAAATGGTGGCCCTGGAGACTAAATTGTTCCTGGTGATTTTACACCTAATTCTTTACCTTAATTCCTAATTATTTTGCAGTTAACATGCATCTTTTCTTCTCCACATGTTTTTGACTGACCCTGCTGACCCACTGAGCATTTTGCTGTCCAATGGTCATGCATTAACTTTGCAATTTCTATTATTGCATTAGTTTTGAATATTTCTCATGGGCATTTAAGAATTTTTGACTTTCAGTCTGAGTTAAATCTAAAAAGTTTTGGCTCATTTTATCTGTAGAAAACCTTTTATCTGAAGAAAACCTGCTTAATAATTATGCACACTATGCACTTGAATATAAGACATTTTTCACTTCCAACCTTCATGAATAATTATATATCAGTTATAAATGATTAAATACAAGATTAATAGTAGTTAATAAGATTGATGTTGTTTGAACTTGGTAAAATGTGCTTGGAAAAATATATGACCAGAATATCAACTTACATAATAATTATGCACGCACTGTATTTTCCTCTTCCGCTGTCGTCGGTAATACAGGGAATGTTGTGATTGGTTGTCAAGGCAGCCAATCAGAATTTAGCAGCCTCATCTCTGATTGGCTGGAATTATGGCATATATTGTAACGCTGGGTTGTGTTGAGCAAGCGAGCTGTTGGCATTTAAAGGGCACTGAGGGTGGGCATCAGGGGAGCAAGCTAGTGAAACGTTGCACGCGCAAAAGAGAAGGTCTGCACACATCCAAAAACATATTTTAAATGCGAAATTGATTTTCGTGCACTCAAAATACTTTTTTCTTTGCGAGACGAACATTTTCTCCACAAAATTCAGTTTGCGCGTGCAAAATACACTTTTGGGAAAATTGTGGAAGAGATCTAACCCCATAAATAAACATGTTTGTCATTTACATTTAACAATGACTGGTAGGCTATACAAAGAGTGGAATAAAAACTTAAATGTGACCCTGGAGCACAAAATCCATCTTGAAGGGTTAGTTCACCCAAAAATGAAAATTAGCCCATAAATTACTCACCCTCAAGTCATCCTAGGTGTATATGACTTTCTTCTTTCAGACGAATCCAGTCGGAGTTATATTAAAAATTGTCTTTGATCTTTCAAGCTGTTTCATGGCACTCAGCGGGTGTTGCATGCTTCTCACATGTTGGAGGATTTCGATATAAGCTAAGAGGAGACTTGTTTTCCTTTGCTAAAGTAAAGAAACTTTGCTTCCTTTGCACCTGTTAACGTTGGTTTTCACGAGATTCACTGGCGCATGCGCAGCGATGACCTCAGAGGCTTTAATGCGCATCTTATCAGTAAAGCCGGTTCTGTAATCAAACGTGGTTTAGCGCAGCTCGTCAGTGAACAATGGCTCTGTGTAGTTAATGCTGCTCAATGTGAAAGCCCGCAGGTGATGGAGATTTACCGCTGATTACAGAACCGGCTTTACTGATAAGTTGCGCGTTAAATATCGCATGTGATTCACATTTTGGTGATTAAAATAAGCTTGTCCATTTCTGTTCGGTAGTACCTATGTGACAATTTAACTGTAATAATTCTAATTAAGTGATAAAAAGTAGTTGCAAATGTTTTAAAAAGACACATACTCATCACTGTACCATTAAAATGTGCAACACAAAATATATATGATATAATTAAAATTAACTTACACTGCAGCATTTTGGTGCACTCGAGTTCCTGAACGTGATGCATGATGGGATACGCTTAGCCTCTGAATACCGCTCTGAAGCGCTGAGATAGTGTGGGTTTAGTGTGGGTTAAGGGCGCTGAGCTTTGCCATTTTTCAGTTCTAATGTTAGTGAATTCAGAATATACTAAACTAGCGTCTGTGTGCTCAAGACTAGTCATTTGCATAAAACACACCCAAACCATCTCCAACCAACGGCTTTACGAACAAACCGATTGTAAACGTTCGTACACAGATTTCATGCACAAATTTGTGTGTGTTCATGCTTAGTGAATGAGATCCCAATATTCTTCTGCTAGATACACGTACAGTGTGTTTACTTTTAACTGATAGAGGACCAAAAGTTACATGATGAAGCTTCGATCATTTTTAACTCGTTAAACAACAATATTAATCGCAGAAATTAACACTGAAGCTCAAACAGCAGCAGTTTTTTCACTGCTTTAGTTTCAGTTGTTACGTGATTCTCGTCTGAATTAAAAGTGTTTTCTGTGCATGACTTCCGTTCAGTTTTAAAACCATCATATTTTTTATTTGATCCTGTTTGAGAATGATATTTGAGCATATAACTATTTACTTCAATAATAATAATAATAATAATAAAGAAAAAACTGTACTGTGACAAACCCTGTTTGTGTTTGTTCTTCAGGTTTGTTTGCTGATTCAGTGAAGTCAGTGTCAGTGATGGAGGGAGATTCGGTCACTTCACAGATGGTGGCCAATGGTGGGCCACATTGCAGATTCACTTACCAACTTACCAGTTGCCTTTGCTTTTTTAGAACAGAATTTGATTATTTAATCTTTGCATTTGAATTTTCAGAATTTGTAGAGTGTGTGCACACCTCGTCCTCTCTCCCTACTGTTCTCTGTTCTGTCGAATAAAGCGGGGTGTGAATTACGGCATTCAGAGGGTCATTAATGCAGTGTTACCAATTCATGAAATATACAGCAATAATACAACGCTTCCATGAATGGACTACCATAGAATATCATGGCCTGTATATCCCAGCTAATGCTAATCTAACTTGTCTTCCCAGAATAGTAAAAAAACTTTCATGTTTGTTATATTTTTCTGGCTCATGGTGCCTTCACTGCATGATGATTGAAATTCTAACTGTATTTATTTATTCTGAACATTTTATGGCACAGCTCTGCATGACGACAGGTTTTCAGCCGACGCTTTTCGTCTCACGTGCATCTGATTGACAGATAAACTGTGCGCTGTTATTTCAGTTTCTGTCATTAATGTTGTAGTTAATTCAGCAAAGATTTGACTTCGTACATGCAGTTAAAAAGGTTGCATCAAGTTAAAAAGGACAAACTTCATTCAACTGAGCTGTGCACATATTTTAACACTTACATTAGGCCTATGTTCTTTCTTCCTCCCTCCGTGCAATAAATACATGTCCTGAATGAATGAGTGTTTTTGCTCGGGTAATGTCAATGGTGCGGCCCATTTCAGGCACATCCAAAATTACAATTTTGAGGGTTTAGGAAAATAATTAAGATGAAGATTAACAGAATCTACATTAAACACTGACTAACTTATTCTCTCATGTTTTCCAGCTTGTCTGCCTGTTCCTGTCTTCAGCAGATACTGTTCTTCATCATCATCATCACCATCATATTGTTCATTGGTGTGTTCAGTGTTTAATGTGGGTCATGTGACTCTCTCCTGGTTCAAAGGAAACAGTTTATTGTCCAGCATCAGTGTGTCTGATCTCAGCATCAGTCTCTCTCTACCTCTGGAGGTGGAATATCAGGATAAAAACAGCTACAGCTGTGTGCTCAACAATCCCATCAGCAAGCAGACTCAACATCTGGACATCACTCAACTCTGTCACACATGTTCAGGTACAGCAGCGCTGATATTAGCGTTTATTACGCGGCTTTGTGGAATACTCGATTCTGATTGGTCAATCGCCAAATTCAAGTATTTCCTAATAATCGCTGTTGTCCATACTGTTTTTTCAGACTGCATATTTGGTTCAGGCGCGGACTCGCGCACTCTTGATTCATACAAACGCATCTACCGCCATCTTGTGTCTCAGTTATTACTTCAGTATTAATATTGAGTATTGTAGCCTTGTTGAGCCATTTGTTTTGACCATAGACTTAAAAAAAATATGGACGACGTATCTCCACTTCCTTCCACTATAGAAAAGTGAAGCCAAAACATTCTCAATATGGCCGCTGTCATTTTGGGAAAATTATGTAAATTGGAGTAATTTGGGTCTTAGCAGTAGTGATCGTGAGGTGGAGCCATGGAATCAAAAGTCCCACCCAAACTCCTGCAGATCCAATCACAAGCTCATAATCATAACACCACACCCCATTTTTATAGCATCAAATAACTAGTTAAAAGCAAAATTGTTAGACACTTGTACATACATCAGCATGTTAAGAACTACCTAAAATGACGGAAACCATCTTTGGAAAAAATTTCTTTGAAGTGTAAATTGATTATTTAGTTTGTCTCACGTCCCATTAGATTACATGGGGAGGGCGGGGTTTATGACCTATTCTGCAGCCAGTCACCAGGGGGCGATCGAGACACCCTGGCTTCACTTTTCTCTCATGCGGCACACTTGGTTTTGACATTACAAATGTTCGCAGAATATATACAGTTATAGAATAATTTAAAGTCAAATCAATATTTCCCATTCACGTATTTATTAAAGGGGTCATATGATGCGATTTCAATTTTTCCTTTCTTATGTTTACTCGGCGCGATACGCAACGCGTAAAAAGACAGTATAAGTCATTATAATGAGTAATCATGTCCCCACTGGATGCAACAAATGCCTCGTTTGTAATGGGTTTTATTGGTTTTGTCTCGTCGCGCCAGGACATGGCATCACAGTATGGTGAGGGGCGTAACATTTTCGTCACACACTTGAGGTATTCAGCCAATCACAAACGCACTGGATAGCTGGCCAATCAGAGCACACCTCGCTTTTCAGAACGATGAGCTTTTTAAAATCGATGCGTTTAAGAAAGGCGGGGCATAGAGGAGAAACAATAATGTACATTATGTGGAAAATAATGTGTTTTTTGAACCTTAAACCGCATAAACACATTGCATTACACCAAATACAAAACGTCATATGACCCCTTTAATTTGGTCAATAGTCCTGTAAAAGCAAAATAATTAGCTGCTTAGTATCGCAAAATAAATCGCACTCTGCATTCTGGGCTTTATTCCTTTTTTTCAAAACTATTGAAATGTAAAGAAATCTCAACAGGAACCATAACTGGTCAAATTTACAGCATTTTACAAACAATCTGACATAAGTTAAAATAAAATCTCGAATGTGATAATGATTTAATAGTTTTTAAAAAATAAATTTCCATATTGAAATTATAAATTGAAATGTTACTACAGCATATTTAATTCAATCTACTTTAAATCTATGACAAATAAGATTAACAAGATTAAAGAGAATAACAGCTGTAACCGATATTTAACGTTATTGACTGAGCTGAACTCGTGTTTCATGTTTTTATTCCTCAGACTCTGTCCACTGTTGTGTTGTAATGAAAATTTTTTTTTTTAAAGGGGTCATCGGATGCTACATGCACTTTTACAAGTTGTTTGAACTGAAATATGTGTTGGCAGTGTGTGTATGCAACCACCCTATAATGATAAAAATCCACCCGGTGTTTTTTTTTTTTTTTTTATCTACTAAAATCTTTACCCCTTTCTCAAATCGAACCGATCTCAGATGCCTGTCAGATGCCCCTCCCACGATAGTTTGATTGACAGTAGCGTTTCAGCACAGACTGGACTGGCGTCTTACCTTAGCTCCGCCCTGAGTGACTGTCATCAGTCCGCCATTGTTTCACCGCCGGAGCAGTTGTAGACAAGAATGACTCCTAAGAGATTGAGGTGTTCTGTTGTTGGATGTAATAATGAACATAGCAGTCGTCATTTACTCCCGACACCTGAGCCGCTGAAGATGCAGAGGATTACATTTGTTTTTGAAGGGAATGCGCCCCCGATCTACATAAATGCGCCTATGTTGGCGCGAATCATTTATGATCCAGCTTCACCTAAAGACGAAGTGAGTTTAAGGTTTTTTTAATGAATCTTTGCAAATCGCTTTCCCTAATAATGTGCTAATTAGCAAGTTTCACGATGAATGCAGCTAAAGTAAACAGTCCCTCAGAGAGCAGCTCGGAGGAGAGGGGCGGGGTCAGCAGAGCTCATTAACATTTTAAGGAAAATGCTACAAAACGGCTTGCTCAGAAAAGAGCTGTTTTTGACAGGGTAAAAAAGTGTTTTTTACACTACCATTGAGAAATGAACCAAACGATGTTACAGACTTTTCATTAAGACCCTAAAGAATCATATCAACTTGTGGAAAATGGGCATCTGATGACCCCTTTAAAGGTTTTTAATGAGTTAAAAAAAAGTATTTATTATAAACTGAGTACATACCAACCGCTCACCCTTCGATACATTACTGTCACAGACACGTGACCAAAATGAATAGAGGAGAGAAACGTTCAGGGGCGCAGAACAGAAAAGACTGAGGGGAAAAGAAAAACAATGCATTAATGAGGACAGCAATGTCTAAGTGAACTAACAGAAATAGGTAAACTTACCCTATTATTATTTTTTTCATTGTAAATTATGAAGAGGGCAAAGTGTTTAACATTATATCCCTTCATTTCTGTGTATCTCTATTACTCAAAAAATTTAAATAAAAGTCACGATATGCTTGTGAATGGGTTAGGGTTAGGGTTTGATTTACATTTGATTGGAAATGAGAAGATTGTTAACAATATAAACTAGCCACGTTTTGCAGAAAATTGCCGGTTTCAGAACTCTTGCTACTTCATACTTCAGTACAAAACAATGCTAAACTTTAACAAAAAATGATTTTTAAATGTTATATTAGGGATTTCATAATGTCTTAAAATACATGCAAAACAGGCAAAATAAAGTCCAACAGTTCACTTGCTCCTTTGAGTGTGTGGGCACCCCACAATCTGATTGGTCTGCACTCCTTCATTAATCCTATAGTGCACCTGTGAATCGGTACCATTTACCTATAGACAGAGTACAAACTCAAATAAACACAAATAAATATTAAATAACAAATGTATTGAAATAAAGAAATATATTTTAAGGTAAATTAAATACAATACTTGAATTCAATAAAATAAGCACAATAAACAAATATAAGGCTGCTACAATAAATCTAAAAGCAAAACGTGAAAAGTGCAATATCATGGAGTGGAAATGGTAAATTAGACTGAATGATCCTCTGCTGCCATCTAGATGTCGTAGTGAGAATATCATGACATTCATTTTAATGGTATTTGTTTTTCTACCAGGTTGCAGAATTTTTCCACTTAAGCATGGCAAATTTTCCATGAATTGTCTCTATAAGTAAAAATGAAAAAATACAAATGTTCTTTAAAGCGAATTTTACATACAGTGTTCTCATTTAATATAAAAATGTACAAAAATATGAAAAACTTTGAGGTGAATGAATAATGAATTGCTTGCAGGGAGTTTTCTGCAGGGGTTAGGGGCTAGAATACAGGGGGGCGCCAGCACTGATCTTGCATACCCCTCAGCAAATGTGCAGTTGTGACCCTGGTTCTGGTTTATAACATCAGATCCAGAAGAGGATTTTTACAGCCTTTCTGTATTCCTCTTCCTAAAATACTTGATCTGAACTTTGTTTGTTAGTTTGAATTTTAATATCTGTCTACTTGTTTTCTTTATATTTCTTACATATAAAAAAAAACAAAAAACACCTTGCTACATGTACTGCATTAGGCTAACCGAGACTTATCACAGCACTTGCATATTATTGCTCTTTTGTTGGTTTTGATGTCTTCTGTTGTCTTCATTTGTAAGTCACATTGTATAAAAGCATCTGCTGAATGCATAAATGTATTCTCGGATTTTAAAATTAAATGTTCCCTCCTGATGGAATGACCTGCCCAACTCAGTCAGAGCAGCTGAGTCCTTAGCCATCTTCAAGAATTGCTAAAAACACATCTCTTCCATCTTTATTTGACCCTCTAACTCTAGCACACTCTATTCTAATTCTATTTTATCTATTTATTTTCTTTTTTTTTATTGATTTTTTAAATTTTTTTAAAACACATGACCCTCTAACACTTGCACTCTCTATTCGTTTTCTAACTGCTTGTTTTCTTAAAAAAGGCCTTTAACACTAGCTTTCTCTTTTCTTTTTTTCTGTTCTATCTACTTATTTTCTTTTTATTATATGTTTATTATTATTATTTTTATATATATATATATATATATATATATATATGTATATGTATATATCGCAAATGTACATATCGCAATATGCATATCACTACAGCTTGCAATATTTGGGGCCATGAACAAAAGACAGAGAAAATCACTCACTGCTCTTACCTAAATAACTTTTGTAGATTAAATAAGAATCAGTGCATATTTAATTCAAAGAGAAAATACTAAGCAGTGTTTTATTTTTCCGTTTTATTATTCAGTTCCTAAACTCATGTTAAAATGACATTTTTATGTAATGCTTGAGTAAAACACTACCGTTCACTTTCAGAAGTTGTTGTAGGGGTGCTTTCTTATTAGAATCAGAATCAGAATGAGCTTTATTCACCACTTAAGTGTGTGCAAACACAAGGAATGTGTTGTGGTTTTACAGGAACTCTTGGTACGTACATACAAATAACCATATGATACAATATAGTTATAGAAGTTCACAGAACTGACTCAGCAACAGCTGAGTAAAGCTGTTTCATCTGAGCATGTGGCACTTTAAGCATTATCGTATCGCATTATTTAATGAGTTATCGCATATCGCATTTTTCTTCAATATCGCACAGCCCTAAATTGTCTGTCCTAAGTCGCTGTGGATAAAAGCATCTGCTAAATGTAAATGCAAATTTGTTAGATGTTCTATTCTATTCTATAATAAACATTTGATATGATTACAGCAGTGTGTCTTGTTCCTGGCACAGATATTCAACATCGATCAATATGTTTGTATTTATTGATTGTGTTTATGAGTCATATGAAAACATCAGATAACACTTTTACGCACACACTCATAGCAGCTGATCGGTTCCTGAAACATAAAGCTTTTAGAGAAACTCTGAAATCATTCTGAGATGAGAAACAATTTAGACACTTGATAAACGAACAACAAGCGAGCTGAAGAGAGACCAGTTACTGGAGAGACCAGATGAGCGAATGAAACGTAGCCCTTGTACGTAAGAATGGGCGTGGCCATATGGAACGCTTCTTCCGGACCGGTCAGACGCTACTGAAATATGTTTGTTTGATGGTTGTATATTTGTTACAATCATGACACGCATTCGGAACGCATAATATTTTACGCTCTATTGCGGCCGCGTGTACCGGAACGGATATATATCGCTGAAACTGATCGACATTTTGCAAAACGTAAACAGCTCGATAAAGCGATCTGGCCTGTCATATATGGGCTTGGGACTGAAATATGCAAAAATTAGTGTTTATTGAAGAGAACATGATCCAGAATCCTGCCGTATTAAACCTAATGAAGACACTGAAGGACAAAGAGGTTGGTGTTTATTCTTCACTGAAAAGAAACTAAGCCCAGATAGCACACATACTAATGTAAGATGTCTGTTAAAGATGTGGAGAGCATCTACTGTGTAAACATCTGATAGACGTCTTTAAGATGTCAGTTTTACATACATTCTAAATCATAAACATCTTAAAGACATCTAATAAACGTCTATTTGACATCTGATAGGAAACGTCCTATAGACATATTGCAGATGACCAAACACTCTAAACCATACGTCTGGCAGACGTCTCTGTGATGTACGTGTGCTATCAGGGAGGTCTCAAAATAGTTACACCATCAAATAACATGGACCGATACATGACAAAATGTCCTTGCACTTTACATTTAGTCATTTTGCAGGAGCTTTTATCCAAAGGGACTTACAATTGGGGGATACATAAAGCGATTCTTCTTAAAGAGGCAAACAGACACAGGAAGTGGTTGTAATACCAAGTTTTTAGTCATTGTTCAAATAAGTACAAGCTAGAAAGAGAAGGAATAAATAAAGAGATATAATGTTTTTTTTTATTTTTTATGATGAAGTCAGGTAGCTTCGAAAGAGATGAGTTTTCAGCCGTCGCTTGAAAATTGTCAGGGATTCTGCATTCCGGATAGGGGTGGGAAGATCGCTCCACCAGCCAGGAACGGTGAACGAGAATGTTCTGGAAAGTGATTTTGAGCCTCTCTGTGATGGTACCACGAGGCGTCGCTCACTAGCGGATCTCAGACTTCTGGAGGGGACATTAGCTATGCAACTTGAATTAATGTTTGGAACAGTAGAGGTGACGTAAAATGTGATACTTGAGTGTGTAGCTTTGTTTTTATGTATTTTCCCTTCCCAGTTTTACAATGTTCTGTTATGTCCATTCAGGCCTGATGGAGGTGAAAGAGGAATTTAAAAACCTGAATGAGGTGGAGGAGGAACATCATCTCTCCATCACTGGTGAAAATCCTTTGACTCTCTCACAAAACACAACCAGATTCAAGAAGTCTTACATCTGTCCTCAATGCGGAAAGTGTTTTGCAGGTAAATCACGACTCGAGCGCCACATAAGAATCCACACCGGAGAGAAACCGTTCGCGTGTCTCGTGTGCACAAAGAGTTTTGCGTGTAAAGAAAGACTCGACAGGCACGTAAAAATCCACACTGGAGAGAAGCCCTTCACGTGCGAGTGGTGTGGAAAGCGTTTGGCGTGTAAAACGAGACTCAAGAGGCACGTGATAACCCACACTGGAAAAAAGCCTTATGCGTGCTTGCATTGCGAAAGGAGCTTCACGACGAACACAAACCTGCAGCGGCATGTCAAACTCCACACTGGAGAAAGGCCGCACACGTGCCAAGAGTGTGGAAAGAGCTTCATACGCAAGGAAAAGCTCAGGTTTCACATGACGATCCACACTGGCGAGCGGCCTTACAGTTGCGAACAATGCGGGAAGAGTTTCCGACACATCAACGGTCTCAAAGATCACCAGCTCTCTCATGCCGCAGAGAGGTCTTTTAACTGTGATCAATGCGGTAAGGATTTTATTACTGCGTCTGCACTGAAGAGACACTTGAGAGTTCATTCGGGTGAGAAGCCTTTCTTGTGTTCTCTGTGTGGAAAGAGTTTTGCACGAGTGGACTGCTTTAAAAGGCATCAGGAGGTCCATAGTGGTGTGAAGGATCACGTGTGCTATGAGTGCGGGAAGGCTTTTATTACATCCGATCAACTCAAGCAGCACCAGAGGATTCACACTGGAGAGAAACCTTACAAGTGCTCACTTTGTGGGAAGAGTTTCGCTCAGTCGCCGCACCTGCAAGCACACGAGAAAAGCCACACCACTGAGAGCCATATGGAAATAAGTGATCAAATCATCTACTGATTCACGTGGAAAATGCATGATCCAAAGGTATCTTGGGAATCTGAATCCCAAAAAGAGTAAGAGTGGCTTTCTTGTTTACACCAAACCTTTTGTTTCAACATCGCATCTGAATACTGTAAATAAACCATTCTATCACTAGGTCTATACTATGTGTTTGTCTTCATTAAAAATCACATGACCAGATGTCAACTCACTTTATTTCACTAACCCTGCAGTGTTCAACTGTGGAATAACTTAATAAGGGGTGTTATGCCATTTTCTATTAAAGCATTTGTTGATTTTAAATAATGCCTTTCCTTACGAAAATTAACCAAGGTTTTACTACAAATTAAACTTAAAAAAAAAACATGGTTACTATAGTTAAACCATGGTAACCACAAATTAGCCATGGGTTTGCTGCACTAACCATATAGTTTCACCATGGTATTTGTAGCAAAACTGTGGTTATACAAATGGTAATCAATACGCCCGAAAAAAAAAAAACATGGTTCCCACACTTTTACTACAATGAAACCATGGTTAATTTTCATAAGGGTTGTGAAAATTTGATGAATTACTGTTGAATTATGGATACACATGGGCATCTCTTATAATCTTGCTGCTGATTTTTTTGTTTTATGTGTTTGCAGCAGTTCTTTCCTCTTTATTCCGTTATCTGACAAAAAATAAATAAAAAAGTCACTCAGTATTTTTGTTTATGTCGTGCTGATACCTGGCGGCGAACATGAAGAAAGCACAAGTTGGTGAGATTGGAGGAGAAACGTAGCTGTTCACAAATGGAAACCAAAACCTTTAAACAGGCTTTACGTGTCTTTTATTTCAAATCAATACACAATACATTTCAGGTACACTTTTCTGGCTCTGCAGAAGGCGTTTATCAAGTCCTTGCGTTGTATTTTCGAATCCAGTAGGTGGCGGAAACGTATCTTCGACTGTTTTGTGTCTCGCAATGAAACGTAGAAGAAGATGATGCTGGAGGAGCTGTGAAGATGAAGTAGGTTTCATTTTGATGTTTTTTTTTAAGTGGTGTCAGATTGCAGTGTAAACAAAGATACTGTCAGCGAAATATTGATATTATTTATATCATTCTAAAAAGTCATTTTATTTTTCTATATGGAAATCGTGGAACATTTATTTTAATGTTTCATACTCACAAACGGTTATTTCTTAGTTATATGTAGGCGGCATACTAAATTAATAACAATAACAGTATATTTGAGTCGAAAAGTGATGGAAATACATAATATTTATAATGATTCCAAAAGTCTTATAGTGAGAGCTCAAATATAGATGATTTTCAAATAATTATCAAAAGAGATTCTGTTGAGGTAATTTGTTTTCAGCGTTTCGCGCTCTTTGTTTGAAAACGGCGGTAACGGTCGATCAGTTGAACGCAACACGCAACGGTCAGTATTATTATGCTAGCAATTTCCCGAAGTACGTAGTTCCCTGAAGAGTAGGACATACCTGAAAGTAAAGATAACACGCAGTTTAGATGATTTAGATAATTCACTGATTTCATACTGATGCCAAACGATAATTCGCGAGTTCGTAATGTTGTTTGAACGATAGTACATTAGTTCTGTATTCCCTAATCTATATGTTAATTAGGGTGCAGATACGTGTAAGAAAAGATCGTATAAGAATTCATGATATATACTTAGATCATATACAAAGATGAATACATAATGCTCTGTACAGTGATAACAATCACATCTTCAGCACGTTCCTCTAACAACAATTCAACAATAAATGCTGGAACATTGAAGATGAGCATCCAGTCCATCAGGAAGAAGTGAAATCTGCAGAGACAGAGTTTATTGAAGGACAGAGAGAACATGAGAGATCCAGAACCCTGCAGAATGAAACACACTGAAGAAGAAACAGGTTGGTGTTTATTCTTGATCCTTCATTAATGAGGCTGAAGAACATCCAGGTCACAAAAGCTGCATGCAGTTCATTGGATTTAGCTGGTGTAGTTAGAAAAATCAAATGAGCTTTGAAATAACATCATAAAACCTGCAAATAATACCAGATTTGAGAATGTCCTAAATCTAGAGCAAAGCTTTTGTTTTGGGACTTTTTTAATTATTTAATTTCCTGTTCATGTAGACCTGATGGAAGTGAAAGAGGAAAGACAAGAACTGCTTGAGGAGAAACATAATTTCATACCTGGAGAAAAATCTTTGAGTTGTTCACTGACTGATGATAATAATAATAATAATAAATCCCAAAAACGAGAAAGAGCCAAAAATGTTTTCATCTGCCCTCAATGTGCAAAGAGTTTTACGCAAAAAATCGGCCTTGAGCGCCACATGCTAATTCACACCGGCGAGAAACCCTTCACTTGCTCTCAATGTGGGAAGAGTTTCAGGTGTAAAAGGAACCTCGTCGATCACATAAGAGTTCATACCGGAGAGAAACCGTTCACGTGCGACCAATGCGGCAAGAGTTTCGCATACAAAACAGGCCTGAACAGACACATAAGGATTCATACCGGAGAGAAACCATTCATGTGTCCTCAATGCGGAAGAGGTTTTGCACTCTCAGGAGCCATTAGGAGGCACATCAAAATCCACAGCGGAGAAAAGCCGCACACATGCGATCACTGCGGAAAGAGTTTTACCTATAAAGAAAACCTTAAGGAGCACATGAGGATCCACACCGGAGAGAGACCGTACACTTGTGTTGAGTGTGGAAAGAGCTTCACACATGTCAGCAGTCTTAAAGAACATCTTCACACTCACTCTGCTGTCAGGCCGTTTAACTGCGACCAATGCGGTAAAACGTTTCTTTCATCATCCATACTAAAGAGACACTTGCAAGTTCACATGCAGGAGAAGCCGTACTTGTGTTCTCTGTGTGGAAAGAGTTTCGCACGACTGGATGGTTTTAAAGAGCATCAGAAGATACACACCGGTGTGAGAACTCACGTGTGTTTCGAGTGCGGGAATGGGTTTATATCAGCCACGCACTTGAAACTGCATCAGAGGATCCACACTGGAGAGAAACCGTACAAGTGTTCGCACTGCGACAAGAGGTTCTCTCGCTCAGGAACCCTGAAAGCGCACGAGAGGATTCACACCGGAGAGAAACCATATCACTGCACCGCGTGTGGGAAGAGTTTCAACCAATCAAATCAGCTGCTGAGTCATAAGAAGAAACATCACTCTGTGTTGTCGCAATGAGCTTTTTATCTTCAGAAACCAGGACTTTCTAAGAGATGTGTGTGTGTGTGTGTGTGTGTGTGTGTGTGTGTGTGTGAAGAAAACAAAAGTTTCTTGAAAGAAAGCAATATTGAGCAGCAAATCAGAATGATTTCTGAAGGATCATGTGACACTGAAGACTGGAGTAATGATGCTGAAAATTCCGTTTTGATCAGTAATAAATCACATTTTACAATATATTTAACAGCTATTTTAAATTGTAATAATATTTCACAATACAATAGTTTTTACTGTAATCTTCTCAAATAAATGCTGCCTTTGTGAGCAGAAGAAACTTCCTTTAAAACCATTAAACAATCTTAATTATTCCACTTTTAAATGGTAGTGTTAGTATTTTAAATACCTTACAAACAGGTGCATACATGCCTCATTAAAAATGTTTTGCACATGAACAAATAAAAAGTAACTACTTAAAATTTTTTTTTTTTAAATCTGTTGTTTTACTCTACATGAAACAGAAATGATAAGATCATACAAACAGCTGAATACTGCTCCCTTTACAGAATTAATCATGGGTTATTAAAATATCCGGTCATTTTTGCAAATTTTAATATCTGGCAAATATTTCAATATGTGTTTTTCAATATCTAATAAAGTAAACATGTTCTGTATGATTTGTAACTAAAAATAAATGTATGAATAATATTTTAAGTAACTATACTACATTAATACATATATAGCTTTACTATATTAATATATGTTTTAAAGAGAGCTTTGCAGTATTTATTTACTATGGTGCTTTCAACTGTCGACTCACAATATACTCCAGTCCAGTAGAGGGTGCAAGTGCACCATAATTTGCTTCATCGCCTGCCACAAACGTTAAGGAAGAATGAGATGAACATAACTTCTATCAGAACACTTGCAATGCCACTAGAAGGCAAGCCTGCAACCTTTAGCCGAAAAAGCGTAATGGCTAATGCTAACGCAAACGAGACCAGAGGCCGTTTTTTTTTTAATGGATGTCAATGTAGGAGAGGCTTCACTACGCTGAATAAAAAGTTTTTTTTAGAGGAAACAGCTCTATTGGCTAATCTTCAACATGTTTTACACTAAACAGTACTTTTGGATTTAACTGTTTTTTTGTGTTTACCACGAACAAAATGCTGTTTTATAAGAGAAGTCACTGACTTTTTGTGAAAGGTGGGCTTCAGCTTACGGCTTTTCTCATTCATTCCTATGGTATCTGTAAACGGCGATTGAGTGTCGCACAACTCTGACTGAAATTCAGTGACGTCAAGGCTGTAATGTGATTGGTTATTAATGCACACGTGATCCAAGTTAGCCGTTACGCTTTCTCCAGTAGCAGTAATACAGACCCTCTCATCTCCCTAAGACAATCTTTGGCATAAATTTGTATGTTATGAGAGATCAGAGATTCAAGTCAAGTCTCGAGTCATTGTTGTCAAAGTCTAAGTCGAGTCGCAAGTTTTCTTTGATTATGTCGATTCAAGTAACAACTCCTCAAATTTGGGTCTCGAGTCACGCGACTGATTAGAAAAAAGTTTATAGTTATAGATAGTAACACATATGTTTATGGTAGTGATCAAAACGTTTTGAAAGTAACTCCAAATAAAGATTATATTGCATCGTTACACCAGTAGGTGGCGACGAGTGACTTAAAAGATGTATTTGTCATTGAAGCATTCATTCATTCAAGATATTCCTACAAAAATGGAGATTCATCCAGTAATGAAACAAGCTGTATGCACCAGAAATCACACACGTTTTGCATGTTTTATTCCTATACAACAACCATATGTTTTTCTTTTGATTTTCAAGGAACTAATTATTTCAGTAAAGGAGGTTAAAAAATAATGACTTTTTTTTTTTGTATTACTGAAATTAATGAAGCAAAATAATGCATTATTTCTGTAATTTAATAGGGTACCTTAAACTTTTACCTGCATTTTACTTGTTTATTTTGTGAAGTTCTTTTATTTCATTTTCTTTGTCTATTTTTATGGTGCTTGATGTCTATTAAAATCAGATTCATTCCCGTGTGTGTACATGCTATTGTTCAAACATTTGGGGTCAGTACTTTTCTTGAAAGAAAGTGATATTAAAATGATTTCTTGAGCAGCAAATCAGCATATTAGAATGATTTCTGAAGGATCATGTGACACTGAAGACAGATAGATAGATAGATAGATAGATAGATAGCTTTATTGTCAGACAAAGTCTGACATTTTTCTTGCATAACAGTATGTTTTTTGCACACTCTTTACCAGTGTTGGGGGTAACGCATTACAAGTAACGTGAGTTACGTAATCAGATTACTTTTTTCAAGTAACTAGTAAAGTAACGCATTACTTTTTAATTTACAAGAGAATATCTGAGTTACTTTTTCAAATAAGTAACTCAAGTTACTTTTTTTTCCAATGTATTGATTGACAGCTCTCCTGTCGCCATGTTGAGAGAAATCAGATGTTACTGTAGTTCTAAAATAAATATGAATATGCATTAATTCATCTCACTCACAAAAAAAAAACAGATTCAGTATTAAACAAAACAAAACACAGATTCAGTATTCCTCAAAATGAATAAAAATAATGCAACTCAGAATATGACGCAAACCTGCAATAATTAAATGTTAAACAACACAAATATCCTTTATGTATTTAATCCCATTCTATTTGCTTCTGACCTTCGATGATCCAGTTCAACCGTACTAATAAGCAAAAATGACTCTAGACAAACATTTGTGTGTCTTTGTTTATTGCTGAAGTGTGTTGATATGTCTTCTTCAGCATTCTACTGTACGGACATAAATTTATTTTCCCTTCAGCCTGAGGCTTATTCATTTCACTTTTGGTTTGAAAAGGCTTTTATATTTGCCAAAAATATAACTTTTTTATTTAAAAAACAAACAAGCAAGCCCTGTCCAGATTTAAAAAGTAACGCAAAAGTAATGTAACGCATTACTTTCCACAAAAAGTAACTGTAACGTAATTTGTTACTTTTTTATGGAGTAACGCAATATTGTAACGCATTACTTTTAAAAGTAACTTTCCCCAACACTGCTCTTTACAAACAAAACACAATTCACAATAGACATAGACACAGTAAATATAGAAAAAAAAATATTCCTGGAGTTTTTATTTTACATGTATCTCAGCTCTAGGACAACTGTACAAAAGATTGTTTTAGTTTCACTCGATTAAATTACTGGAGTAATGATGCTGACAATTCAGCTTTGATCACAGCAATCAAAAATACATGTTACAATATATTCGCATAGAAATCTGTAATAGCATTACTGTTTTGATAGTATTTTGGATCACGTGACCACAAGAAAATCCTATTATTTTGTTTGTCAAATCGCAATATTCTCCGCGCTCCAGTCCAGCAGGAGGCGCAGATGCACCACAAATTGGTTTGTCATCCACCACAAAAGTGAAAGAAGAAGGATGCGATGAACGCAACTTGTTTCTAATGCTGTGATTGACAGGATTGGTGTATTATCTAGGGTGAGTGAAAATAATTTTTTTCTGATGCATCGCGATCTCTATTTGAACGATCTCTATTCTTAAATCTCGAGATCGATCTGTGCGTTTTTCGTTAATGTGTGAATAAAACTATCATCAGTGGAGCCCCTGCTATCAAACACTTGCATTAAGTTATGTGGTATTTTAATAATATTAATTGTCTTTTTTATGCTCTTAAATGTGGCGTGGCAGATTGCAAATTTTCTCTTGGTTCAAGTGTCATTTCTTTAGTTTTATTCTGTACACCTTTTTTTCTAACTAGTTTATGGCACTTCCGGTTTGTGGACGTTCAACTGAAAATACATTTCAAATCGTAATTTTGCGCTACAAATAATCCTCACTCGTCGCGTTTGAGTTAATGAGATGTAAATTTTACTTCATGTATTTTAAGACGTTAGGAAAATAACGGTAACGCTTGGTATTCAGATGTATAACAAGAATCCTCCTTTCAGTCTGCTGCATCCTTTCCTCCTGATTATTTTCTGTTTTTCCTTTGTATTTCGCTGTAATAATATGAAAAATGACAACATCTACTACCTTGTATTTGTGGTCTGCACGTTCTGTTTAATATATGATAATAAGCAGTGTTGGGGGTAACGCATTACAAGTAACGTGAGTTACGTAATCAGATTACTTTTTCAAGTAACTAGTAAAGTAACGCATTACTTTTTAATTTACAAGAGAATATCTGAGTTACTTTTTCAAATAACTAACGCAAGTTACTTTTTTTTCCAATTTATTGACTGACAGCTCTCCTGTCCCCATGCTGAGAGAAATCAGAAGATGTTACTGTAGTTAATAAATATGAATATGCATTAATTCATCTCACTCACAAATAAAACACAGATTCAGTATTTCTCAAAATGAATCAAAATAATGCAACTCAGAATATGACGCAAACCTGCAATAATTCAATGTTAAACAACACATATATGCTTTATGTATTTAATCCCATTCTATTTGCTTCTGACCTTCGATGATCCAGTTCAACCGTACTAATAAGCAAAAATGACTCTAGACAAACATTCGTGTGTCGTTTTTTATTGCTGAAGTGTGTTGATATGTCTTCTTCTGTATTCTACTGTACGGACATAAATTTACTTTCCCTTCATCCTGAGGCTTATTCATTTCACTTTTGGTGTGAAAAGGCTTTTATATTTGCCAAAAATATAACTTTTTTATTTGAAAAACAAACAAGCAAGCCCTGTCCAGATTTAAAAAGTAACGCAAAAGTAATGTAACGCATTACTTTCCACAAAAAGTAACTGTAACGTAATTTGTTACTTTTTTATGGAGTAACGCAATATTGTAACGCATTACTTTTAAAAGTAACTTTCCCCGACACTGATAATAACTGACCATCTCCGTCGCTTTAATACCGGTTACAGCACGAAATAAAGATGAATAATCATCCGAAGGTATGTTAAAAGGAGGAGTAGGCTACAATTTACCGAAATCCGATTCCTGTCTCATGTAATCGCTCAGTGTTTCAACCGCGCAAAGACGTCAATATAACAGATGGTAAACA